CAAGAAGAAAGCACACTGAAGTTGGAAAGTACATTTTCTTTGTGCATTTTTAGGACTTTTATATTCTTTCAAGGTTAAAAAGGTCAAAACCACTATAAGCAAGCAATAAAAATTTAGAAGAGGTTGAAGGTTACACACTGGTTAGTGGTGAAGGTTCTTCCACTAATATCACTGGTTAACAGTACTGTTATAACCGCAATGTGGAATGCATGGTGCTGCATTTAAAGGAAGTGGTAAGGGTGGGGCAAAAGCAGTAGGTCCCACGATCAAAGCACTAGAGCATTGAATTTTACTTATAACCCAATCACTGACACCCACACAGCAACTAGATTAGGATTAAAAAAAAAAAAAAAAGAAAAGAAAAAAGAAAAAAAAAATCTGTTTCTCCCTTTTTGTAATCAACAACTTTTACCTAGAAACTAGTTAGCGGTGAACTCTGACTGATTTCAATCTGCAGCTCACGGCAGAAAACATAATTGTTAATCTGTGAGAACCTACAAATAACATTTTAACTGACAGGTTTCAGTGTATCTGTTCTTTCAGACTTTTTTTTAATTCTTAATTACATAAAAGTCCTACAAAACCGAAGAACTAGTGGAAGAAATATAAAGCGACCAGAAGTTCAGTAGTACTAAACGCTACAGGTAATCCTCTATATAAAGCGACCAGAAGTTCAGTAGTACAGCTACAGGTAATCCTCTGACAGAAAATCAAATGTACTTATAAGTCTACAAAACTTAGCTATGTTTTAGGACAGCCTGAGAAAATAATTTGCACTGAAATTTAGATCCCTGTCACAGGGCACCTTTGCTTAAGTATGTCAATATATACTACTATTATTTTTGTTAATATATTAATATTGTCACATTTTCAGTTTATCATAGCCCATTACACAAAGCACAGGCCTGTTTATATCTGGATCATTTTTTGTTGCTTTTTGAGCATTACTTGAGATCCAGCATCAATTAATACAGAAAACCTTCCCCTTCTCTCCAAAGAAGCCTTCAAGTTCTCCAGTACCACCTGGTGAACATCAAATTTCTTCAGCCAAGTCCCAGGGAGCTGTACGAAACCTAATGTCCACTGGGAACTTCATGGGCTACGAACACGTTCCTGGAGGGAAAGAACATGCACATACTCTCTTGGGGATTTTTATTAGAACAGTCGAGTCAGAAGAGGTAAAGAGCTTTTTCTTAGCTAACCTTCCTCAAACTAAAAAGAGAATTTTAAACCAGGTAAGGGACAGAGATACTGATCTTTCAAATCTTTGCATGTAACAGATAGGCTTTGATGTACACTGGTATCCAGGCTTGCTGCTTCTGAAACACCTTCTCCTTGTCATTCTCCATTTTAGTCACTGATTTATAAGCCTTCCTCCAATTCTCTTTAAAGATTCTGCACTTTACCTTTAAACAGTTATATTGAAAAAAACACAACGGAGCATTTAATCAGAAAAACAAACGTATGAAATTTCTCTAGGACCAAGCAAAGATCAGTTTAAGACTCCGCAACATCTAAAAGATCTTGACTTTCGTTCAAAAAGGAGTGAGAAAGAAGGAAAATGATTTAATGAAGAACAGAACAAGCGTAAGCCTGAGATTCAGCCTAGATACGACTTTAAGGAAATAATGACATGATTGTCATCCCCTCTCTTAACCTTCGTTTTTGAGAAGGGAAAGATAGAGATCTCAAGGGTGTCTAATCCATGCCACACAGCAAGTGCTTGCCTATCCTTGCCAGATAGTAACAACCACAGATGACTGTGAACTGAAGTATCTGCTAATACAGTCAGCAGGTCAGAGCTGCTTCTCAACGTCCAAGATTTGAAAAATAACAAACACCAACAAGCAGCCAACAAACAGGTCAGGACTTGCAATGATCGCACACTGCAACCATACTACATCCAAGCTGGCAGCAGCAGGACAGTTCCCTTCAGCACGGAACGAAGGCTGTCCCAGAGCCTTTGCATGAGAGCAGCTAAGCCGGACTACACATTCCTTTTCCAGGTTTCTCCAGGCCTTTTGGATCTGGCTTTCAGTAAATGGTAACCAGAGGCTATGTCTGAAGTGCTTCCCTGGCCCTGTGCTCAGTGCCCAAGGTTTGCTCTGCCTCTGTCTCCGTGAAGATCTGGACAAAACAGACGCGTGGGCAAGATGGGAACTGGGGCACCTGTTGGCCATACCCTGACTGGCCAGGAGACCCTGCCATACCGCGATGGATTGATCAGACAACGCTTGCATGCCATACAACTCCTAAAAAACTTTGCATATAGAAAAGCACTGAATCGGGAACAATCCCTGGTGGGTTTTGCTAGTTTCCCCTGTCAACGACTACTTGGGAAATCTGCAAAAGCATTTATTAGTATTTTCTACTTGACTGTAGAGTGTTGAGGACAAGTAAAGCTTTATACTAGATCTTCACTGCACCTGTCTAACAAAATGCAAGCAAACCATACAAGCGCTTTTCATTATTAAAAATTCTCCCCAACAGAAATAACAGATTTACTAAAAAGACAATACAAACTGGGAACAGAAAGGCAAACTACAGATTTGCCTGGTAATAACTAGCATTTATTCATCCTTCAGCAAGATCTTTATCACCTACTTGTTTTTTAATTAGACCAATGAGAAAGGTAAGAAACAGCGGAAGTTTCTTGTCTGTTGTTTGTTTTCTGAGCACCGTTCCCATTTCTAACACACACTTGTACGCCTGTATCTCTTGCTAGAATCGCAGTATATTACTATATAATTTCTCATGCTTTAAGTAACCACTGAAGATTGCCTTAGTTGTGGAAGGAAGGGAGGAGTATAACTGCATAAGCACATGAGGCTCATCTGCTTTAAAAACAACCCTGCTTTGTTTCCTCCTTAGTCTATTTTATCATAACAACATTTGCTTTTGGTAGAGCAGCGGAACCTTACAAATATTGTGTCTCCCAAGAAGAGGGGAAAGCACACATTTAAACAAATTTTTTTAAAAGACTGATTAAAGGCTGAGTGCACATGTCTAAATTCAAAACAAACTAAAGCTAAATGTTCTCCAAAATTCCTCTATATGTACTAAAGAGGGAATGAAGAGACATAAATCAAAAAAGAACCCCCCATGTAGGTGAGTCAATCTTATGGCACATATTTCTCACCTTTGCTGCTACTGTTACACTTCATTTGCTAGGAATAATCATGTTTCGAACAAGAAATAGAAATAAACCACATGAAAGAGATAGCATAGGTATATTTGGTATTTGTTTGACTCATTCAACTTTATATAGGCCCTCTAAACACTGTATTATGTTATGTAGATGTTTCCTAAAAAGAAAAAGATGGCCACTTACATACTTTCCTTGAAAACCAAATAAAGAAAAACAACATAATTCACAATGGCAAATAAGATTACCTTCAGCTTTCATATTTCTGCTTCTATTAATTTGCTTCCTATTAGTTGATATTTGTCATCATTACACATTATGGGTTTTTTTTAAACAGAAAAGGCTCTCTAGTACCCCAACAGCAGAAAATATTTACACAAAGCAAGCATGGAACAGACCACTTCAAGAACTTTTCCCCAATCCTAGAGCATTTCCTGACAAATTTTCACCGATACTCACCTACACAGAACCTCATGATTTGCTTTCAGGGTTTTAGTGTGCATGATCATCTCTTGGGCAATAAAATCATAGTCATAGGAACAAACTAATGCTGCTGCAATGGCCTGCTTTTAATTCTACTGTAGTAAATAGTATTTTGCAAGCCTTGGATCAATCTATGGGATAATTAATGAGATCTTCAGAATACCCTGGTTTTCAAGTTATCCAAGGAGCTAGTTCTTGCATAACTGGTTTGCAAAACCAGCCAGATCAACAATACCTTTTATAAACAGGATGGGTGCAGGGTGCATGCTTTGCTACAAAATGCAACAGCAAAAAGGTAGACAATCCACATACTTAGAAAGGGAGACATTAATAATGAATCTATTTTCTTTGTATTATGCTTCCTAACACTGTAAGTGGATACATGAGAATAATAGATGTTGACCTACATGTTTGGTACAAAATTATGTGCCTATTCATAAGCAGAATCCAGATTATTATTTTTAAGCCAACTAAATGTTCACTGCTGGGATTAACTGAACTATACCACTGTTGTTAAAAGGAGCTCTAAGTGGCTTCAGCTCTTAAAACAGTTTCACTGGTATGTGAATATTTTGAAAATCAACTCTAGGGAGGGTGAACAAGTAGAAGTTGAATCTCCATTAAAAGAGATCTTATTTTCAATTCAGGAGATCCACTTGGAAGCAGGAACAAGCCATATACCCAGAAAGTGTTTTATATTTAATTAATGCAGCAATGTGTGAACGCAAGAATGATCATACCTGGACAGATCAGGACAGGTCTATCCAGCCCTGTACCCTCTTCTTGTTAGTACCTAGTAGCAGATGCCTCAGGAAGAACATCAAAACAAGGTAAAGATACAGCCATACTTCAGAATACCTTGCAGACACTCAGCAACACAGGAGCCAGAAAGAGTACTTTGGCTTTTGCTAAACCCTGTTATTCCTGTTGGATTTTTCTTCTAAGAACTTCCTAGTTTTTTTTAAGTCCTTTTAAACTTTTTTGAATTCAACACATTCTCTGGCAATAAAAAAAATAATCCAAAATTTAGAGTATTGTATAAAAACAGACCTCTTCATTTATTTTGAAGGTGCCATTTACTAATCTCATTTGTTGCCTACTTGAAAAAGACAGATTTCCCCCCCCCCCGCATTTTCCTTGCCACAAGTGATTTTACAGACCTGTCACACCACTCCCTAATCAGCTGTTTTCCAGTCTGAAAAGTTCCAGTCTGGTTTACTGACAATTTCTGCTGGTTTACTGATAATTTCACACCTTCCTCCATGGTTGAAATGTAAGATAATGACATAGAAGGCTGTCAACTTGTCCTTATGTTCAATAATAAACACAAAATTGGGGGAACTGGCTATTAAAAAAAAGAAAGCCTCCTTACCACTGGGTGGCTTGGGCCGTGGAGGGACATTTTTCTTCGGTGGCAACGCTGGTGTGTCTGATTTGCTTTTGAAAGGGTCATCTGAGAATCCCACCCCTCCAAAAGAGGAGGCAAAGGGGTCTGAAGCTACTGACTACATGAGTAAAAAGAAAAGAAAAAGCATGTAAGAACATTGTAGAACATTGTTTCATGAAAGCTGCAAGTTAACCCAAGTAAAAGCATTAACTTAAAGAAATGAGGACAGATTTACAGAATTATGTCAGTGATGCAAGAAGCTAACACCCACTGACAGAGGTGCATTAACATTCAGGAGTACTTATGCTCTTAATCACTTAAGTACTTCTAGAACTTTTAGTCCTACCGAAAAGCTGACAAGAAAAATGAAGGAAAACTCTACTTTTTACTACTTGGCAATGAATGGTGATACTACAGTCTGGCCTTCACTCTGATAAACAGAAACATGACAGGAACTGGAAAAACATGGTCAATTGCAGAATGGATAGTTTTTTTCCAAGCTTTTTTAAAGTTACATGCAGCTATTTGTCCTTTTTGTAAAAGCTCAGGGAAAATTCTACAACCATATGTTTAATGTTTTCTATATTCAGCTGGCTCTTGTGAAGGACTCTCCTATTGTTTAAAAAAGGCACAAAAAAAAAAAAAAAAAGAGGGAAATGTATCATCCCTAAACGAAGATTTGTAGCTAAAGCTTGCAGTCGACTTTCGCTAAAACTTTTAACTCAAGCCAAACACACGAATATTTGTAAAGACTGTTGCCACCTAGTGGAGAGCTAAAACCCCCACAAAAAACAGTAAGAGAAGTTAGAAAAATCCCCAAAAAGTTAGAGTATCGTGTCACCATGACTAATTAATTTTCTAGCTAACATTTAATCTACAATGTTCAAGCATCATTGTAGAACTAAGTGTAAAAAGTTCGGTAACTGATGTCAACTGTAAATTCCAAACTCCATCTCAGAAGGCTAACAGCAGCCTCCCAGCCAGATGGGGAGGTAAGAACCTAGTGCTATTTGAAATACCCTACTTACTCAGTTTATTCCAAGAAACCAAGGAAACAACAATTCTGTTAAAAGTACACCATGTTTTCCACCTTCCTCTGGTTCCCTGTACTCATGGAGCAGTTTAAGAACAAGTCAGGATAATATGAGAGATGAAGCATCCAAGAAGCAGACTTCAGGACTTTGAGGAAGGTTGAACACTGAAATACATAAGTATCTGGGAACAACCACCTTTTCTTACGAGTGAAAACTAGAAGTTATTGTTTTTGCTCCTCTGGTATTTGAAAATGTTTGTGAAAAGTTGATTCATCCCTGCTGAATCTACCAGTCTTGCTAAGACTTTGCCCTGTCCGAGAGGGATGGAAAATGCTGAGCTAAGTAACTGGCGAGGTTGATCGGAAAAAAATTAACAAAAGTGGGTTGTCAGTTGAAAAGATACAATCTTCTCACACCCTTAAATAAAAAGTATCTGTACATACATTTTTAAAAAAAGACAGTTGCTTTCCTTGTAACCTTTACCTTTGACATCTGACTGAAGTCTGCAAATCCCTCACCACTACTGAAAGTACCACTTCCAAATGGATCCAATGTTCCAAATGGATCTGAAACAGATACAGAAAAAAAAATATATTTAAAATAATACTTAAGAATTGTGAAGAATGCTTGGTGCCAATGAAGTACAAAACTATGCAGGTGATTAAAAAACACTTGCATTTTGACCTGGCATGAGATGTTTGAAGAGAATTCCATAAAACAATAGGTTTGCTAGCAGTTGTTTGGAGGGGAGAAAAAAAAAAAAAAAGGAAAAAAAAAAAGAAAAAACATATAGTGTACACGAAGACTTGACCTTCATAATCCATAAAATTTCTTCTTCTTACCTGGACCTTTCGAAGAGATACTGGAAGACGTAAAAGGATCACTGCTTTCAAAAGGGTCAGGCTAAATAAGAACAGATACACATAATTATTGTTCTGCTGTACTGTGCGCTTGTCTTTTTATGCATATCAAAATCTCCTGCTTTAAGACAAATTATTTCCAATATCAGACCACTCTGTTCAGTGGACATATAGTAGGATAAAAATCAACTGATGATATGAAATCTGCGTTATTAGTGCATTTGACTATTGAGAGCCTTGAACAAAACACCAAGTACCTACAAGCAGAACACATTTAAGTGAAAAGTGGATCACACTGAAATACAAGCATTATTAGTTACCAGGGCAAAATAAGAAATGACACCCTGAAGTGTTCAGTCTTTAAGCAACAGAGACTGAATATTCAGGTCAGGCATTTACATTATTATTAATTCAGAGAGTCTGCATATCGCTGCTTTTTAAAAAGACAGTGTTTACAGTTGCTCTTCAGTTTGAAAAGTCTGCTGTTATCCAAGTACAAACCCACGTTGCTAGACAAACTAACCTCCCACTGACTGATACTGGAACACTGTTCTAACACTTGGGGGGGCAATAGTCAATGAATGCCGTAAGGGTGAGGGAAAGGATTAATCAAAAAACAAAACAAAAAATCCACCTCCCACCCTCCAAACTAACCACACACATACACGTAAGGACAGCTTAAGAACTGTGACTATACATTTGACAAACGCGTTCTGTGCAGTCCTTCCACTGTGTTGGCTCTATTGTCTGTTGGTGGCTCAGTAATCAGTCTGGTGGTAGCCAGATCAGTTCCTCGATCCGATTCACTATGTGACTGCACAAATAGAAACATCGATGGAATGGGGGTAATGGTGTGAACGAGTGGGTGCTGGTGGCTTGGAATTCCCAACAGAGAAAAAAAAAAAAATCCACCTAACTGCATCTTCATGGTGAACATGCATCATTATCATGGAACTGGAGAGAACAAACTCCTGACTGCCTTAACAATCCATACTTCATTTTAAGAATAAAATTAACCACATTTCATCAGTTAGAAGAAAAGTATTTAGTGATATTTCATTCCATTTAGCTTTCAGACAATAAACTTGTCAATAGTAAAGAAATCTTATATGTAGATTTAAAAATTACTGACCTTTGAGGGTAAAGCGGGGGGTTTTGTGAATGGATCTGAGGTAAATGGGTCACTCTTCACCTGTTTCTTGAAGAAATCCTCGGGGGCAGAACTACGAAATGGGTCACTTTCCTTAAATGGATCACCTCCAAATGGATCTAGGAGGAGTATTAAAAGGTAAAGAGAATGTAGCACCTAGTGTGTCCATAATGAACCATTCTATATTTGAGCTCATGCTCACTGACGCAATTTTTCTTATGAAAACACACAATGATTTGGTAAATCTGATAAACTTCCAGATACCTCTCCACACAGAGTATTTACTAAGTCTGAATAAATGCACATTTATATTAAGACTATGGACTTAATAAAGAGTTACATGCATGTTATTAACATATTGATCGTGAAGGCACACCCTGTCAGGTTTCTATGTTCCCACATGCAAACCAAAAATCTGAAGCCAGGGAAGCCTTGGAAATCTTTGATTTGGCTACAAATTGTTTATATCACATCTGTCCTATCATCAAAAGGGCTATTACCTGCTGGAGCAGGTGGTTGTTCTGCAAAAGGATCATGCTGGAATGGGTCACCTATGCAGAATAGAAAAATCATTTATTTTATACACTATTTAGCAAGATGATAAAAGTTTGTGAAAATATCATTTACTCAACAATCGGTCTTCAAGGTGTCATGTAAGCCATTGGTCACTTACTGCCTTTGAAAGGGTCTGCTCCTTTAAATGGATCGGATTTGAAAGGATCTTCTGACTGGAATGGGTCTGTATGCAATTCTTGTGTATTATTCGTAAACATCAAGGCTTTATTCTTAAATGGATCATCCTAAAAATTAAGAGGAGAAACATTACAGCAACTTACCAGAGTTAAAATGCTCAGTAACCCATTTAGCAGAAACTCTATGGTATCTTGGCTCCTATTTAACGATCTTAAATATTACTTCCTAAAGAACTTTCTGACTAAGTGGCTTCTAAGCAAAAGTAATCACACAGCAGAAAGAAACGTGTAGCCTCAGGCTACACAGAACATCAAAAGTATATTCAGATAACAACAAAAGGTTGAACTATTTCTCATGTTTATATATGCAGTTCTCAAATAATGAAATAACAAAACCAAACAAAAACCCCAACCACTACTCTATCAAAAAATTCTTCTCTTCCAGTTATTTTACAGCTCAGCTTCAGGTAAGACAGTTACTTAAAAGAAAAGGATTCACAAATCACTTGTGGACTACAAATACAAGAAATTACTACTGTGTAGTCATACTCAAGATTGCCTCTTGTTGACTCATTCTGGAGCTTAAAGCTTCAAGTACCGATTTCACATTACAAAGCACTACATGGCAGGAAGAGCATCACCCCAACATTTTGAGCATCGAGAGGTTTGTCAGTAGAGTCCAACCTATAGCGTTGTCAAGTTACAAAAAAATCCTGCACAGGTAAGTAGTAAACTAAAGCTACGAAAGCTTTTCATTGCATTTGTTCGCATCTCATAGCCCTGTCTTGTCTGTTTGGGGTCTCTGACCTTGCCACAGTGCACTATGTGCACAGAGCGCCTGCACAACAGAGCTCCATTGACAATCAAAGCCATTCAACTCCAATGCAAGAGCTATCTAGTAACAACTACCCACTTACACTGCCTCCCACACAAGAAAGATACGGGATTTCTGTCATCCCTTTACAAGATGCAAATGAAGTAGTCTTAATTAATACTTCTCAGAACAGCAGGGAGAGAGGTGGGGAGAGGAGGAAGAGGAAGGAAGAATTAAGAAACAGGAAAGAGGCACAATGATTTAAAAAAAATTGCTATGAACTGGAGTTTTCTTCTGGTAAGTGATTCTCAGGTTTTGCAAGTAAGAGAAACATCTGGAAGTTTTCACTGGAAATTAAACAAATTTTATGCAAGCCATGCAAGCACAGAAACAAAAAGTGTTTTAAGACCATGTCTCTCAATGTATTGTTGTTTTTAATCTACACTTCTCTTCTTTTAAGCATTTTGTTTTTACAGAAAAAGTGTAAAGGGCATAAAGGTCGCATGCTTTCTGAATATTTATTAATACAGTATATATGACATATATTTAACTTCATACTAAACCCATAGCAAATACTGTGCTTACAAGGATTCTGGAAAATGTTTCCCTAATGAGGAAGCACCAAGTAGATGTGCAAGCAGAATCAAGCAAGTATGTAACTTTTATATTTAAAACAAAGAAATAGGCTTAAAAATCCTGTGATTTAGAGTATTATTAAATCAAAATCAACAATAGATACCCAAAAGAAATTGACCAGAAAAATCTTTAAGAACTTGAAGGATCTTATGAATTGGGAAAAATACCGATTGAAAAAAAAAACCCAATGATAATAAATGAGACAAATGATGCTGGAATTGTTTAAGCAGAAGAGAGCTGCCTATGTATTTTGGGAAGGGAACATGGTTTTTACTGAGATACATAATAAACATAACTCACTGCGAGGTAGAAATTTGTATAATTTCTTTTGGAAATGAAAGAGAAATACATGACTAAAGGAAAGCTTATAGCAAGAGAAGGTGTCACCTTGGGAAACTGGAAAACTTGCAAGAAAAAAACACAACGCTTGAATTGGAAAGAAAGTCCTACCTACTTCCCAAGACTAAAGACATGACAGGTTACAAATCAAGGGTTAACACGACCTTTTCTTTTTGTTTCCATAATTACAGTTTGCTTACACATCCATACTGTTACAGTTACACAGGCACAAAATCCTAGCGCAATCTTAACCCAAAGCTTAAAAATTAGCTTTTCTACCAGCATTAAAATCTTTGCCCTGCTTGCACTGGAGATTGCTACCTTGAAGGGATCACGGTATTTACTAACATACCAAAAGCCAACTAAACAGACATCTTAACTATTTCAGATTTGGTGCAAGTCAGAAACTTAATTATTGTAAAATACACTAAAACAACAGTAATTATTTTTTTACCATAGCTCCATAGTTGCTTCTTTCCGTCTGCCCAAGGCCTTCACTTATGTCTGCTAGATTTGTCAGACTACCACCGTGAATCCCATTGAGAGCTTCATTATATTCTTCTATACTCTTATTGACTTCTTGATGACTCTCTTGAAGTTGAGAAAGTTTACTTCTTGCCTAAGCAGTGAAAAATGCTTTAGTATGTTATGCATTCAATAACACTGTCATTCTTGCATTCTCGTTAAACATGGTTGCCAGACAGTTGCATTTTCCCCACACCAAAGTTGAACTTTTCCTGACTCAAACTGGGAATTAACCTACTAAGCACCAGCCAAAAAGGCTTATTTATTTCATGAACCGGTATTTTTTTTTCTCTTCTGAAAAATAATCTTTCTAGGTGACGTTCAACTCAGCCTTTCAAGAAGCAAAAAAGAAGTTGTATAAACTGCAATGAATACCTGGTTTATTTCTTCCTGTGTTGATTTTAAAGATTTGATTATTGTTTCAAGCTGCACTTTTCCAGCCTGGATACTCTGCTCTAGCTGAGTCTCTTCTTGCTGCAGGCGATTCAGTTCTGCTTTTGCTCTGTTAAGGTCATCTTCCTGTAATTTTAAATCTGATTCCTGAGATTGAATCTGCATTTTTAGTGATGAAATCTGAAACAAAACATTACAAAAATCAGAGTGAAATTTGAAATAAATGTAACTTAATAAATTATAAACTTACAATAAATAATAGAAAGTTCTAAAGCAACCTATCAGCTGCTAAGTAAGATACTAAGAACTTAACATGAAGAACTGCATGCGTCTTACGCTACACAAAATCCTTGAAAAAAGCACACAGGACATTCAATAAACCCAAGAAATATTAATATTTTAAATGACAGAAATACCACACTAATTATAAAGGCAATTAGTAGTTTCCAGAACGTGGGTCCTTTTCCATTCGAACATTTATGAAATATTATGAAGTTGATTTTTAACTCTGATAGAAGAGTCATATGCAGACATAACTTTATACGATTCCTTACATGCCCTTATAGACTAAGTTTCTAAATTAAGATTACATGCTAGCAACACGGGCAATTGTATCTCCCTGAGCCCTCACTTTTAACTCAGAACACTGACGAGGTTCACAGTGATCAAAATAAACACCGTTGGCCATGGACTGTCTCATGGGTCAGGAATAATGCTTCTCAACTACCCTACTACGCTGAGTAAGTGTTTCATATATTCACAGAACAATAACAATTTATGTAGAAAGGGACCCCTGGAGATCATCTGGGTCAACCCTGATTTATGATCATTATGAAAGGTATTTAGGTGAGCAAAATCCTTTCTCGGACCTCTGTATTTGTGTGGAAATTGCTGTTTCTGGTAAAAATGAATAAAGCAAGCAAGCTTATTCATTAAATAGAATTTCCTTCAGCAAGACACAGTACTCTTGAGCATGTCCAGAATTAACGTACACTCACCACCTGTGTTTCTTCCTGGCATTTCTGCCTTACATCATTCAGCATATCTTTCAGTTTGGCTTTCTGCTGGTCCATTTCATCCAGGCGGTCTTGGGCATCTTGTTTCTGAGCCTCTAGCTCTTGCAAGTTACTTGTCTCCCTATCTAAATCATTTTGCAGTTCCTGAGGAAAATTCCACAGTTCGTAACTTACATTTAGCTGTTGTCTTAGAGGAATAATCAGCCACAGACAAACAGGCTAGCAAACTCCAGAAGATTTTCTATGTCATATAGGCTATTCCCTGCATGCGAATGTTTTGGTTCTGCAGGAACTTGTATGAGACATCAGGAAACAAATCAGTGCCCACAAGATGGAAAGAGACTGTGACATAGAGCACATGTAATTGAGCTATCCTAACTATCAAAACCAATATTCTTTGAACAACAATTTCCTAAATTACAGTGTTAGTCAAGCACTGAAAAAAGACATTTTACACTGTTCATGAATCATCTTCTGGTGATATTAACCAGCATCAGAAGAAACCATTTCTGATGGAGAACAGGAAAATAAAGATCTTTCTCTAAGTTAGAGGAAAATCCCGTGAAAGGAGGAAAGACTTGCCCAAAAGCAACATAAGGAAAGACAGAAGAAAGAATGTTTCATTCCCCATATATTATTTTAGATTAAAATGAAAACTAATAATGATAAACAGAGTTTTTACCTGAACTTCATTGGTTTTTTGTCTGATTGATTCCTCCTTTTCTCTAATGTCCTGCTCCAGCGAATATTTTTCTCTGTAAGATAAACAAGCACACGTATTCGTGACTGGTTAAATAATACAACACACACATGCACGCATGCAAAAAATCAGTCATGGAATTCTGGAAACATCATGCAGCCAAAAATGCCAGCCCACATTCTGGTATTTCTTTAAAGGAGTAAAAGTGTATATATATCAATTATTCTTCGAAAAATACTATCTGTTCCATGATCAGTCTTCTGAAGTCGCCTCGTAGAACCCAGGCTAGCTTTACATAATTGGCTAAGTGTAGGGTATCAGTGAGAGATTTGCCACCCACTTCAGTGACAAGTAACCATAAACTGACTAAAAGAAAGCAAAAGTAACAGACACATCAGTACTATATACCTAATTGGTTCTACTCCAAGATTTTGTTAATAGTCCACAACTATTACCTCTGCAATTGTGCAATTTCTTGACTAATATCATCCAGTTCCTTCACTCCTGTAAATTCTCCTGATCCAACGGAACTTGAACTATCCTGTTAAGAATGAAACAGTCTATTAAAACGCCAAATCATAACAGAAGATCTTTCTTTACAAAGGCTGAGGACAAAGGTAGGACACAATCCTCATTATATGCATTTGCAAATTTCTATGCGAGACATCAAATCATTATGCAACAACTACTGAGCATGCCACACAATTCTGCCTGTGAGACAGGAGAATTTTCTCTATGCCCATTTAACAGATGGGATAGTCGAAAGACACAGCAGTTAACAGCCATGCACAATGTCAACAAATAAACTGCAGGCAGTGGCAGAATTCAAATTCAAAACCTAAAACCCCAGCTCTGCTACAGTCAATAGCAAAGCTTCTAGGGAACTAAATGAAATCAGATTGTAATTTCAGTCGTCTTGAGCCCTGCCACAAATTAATGCCAATTTCTGCAATTATACCCGATTTCCTGCAGCGCAGGTCATTTTTACAGCCATTCAGGTGTAGATCAGGGAAGGTGCAGGGGGTATCCTTTGCCTTTTAGGCAAGAAAATTGTCATTAGAAATTCTTAAGAAAGGATCTCAGCATCTGGTACAAAATTTGTCATTATTATAAAAAGGATTGCTAGTTCCTTGAAAAAAGTCACTGCAACTGAGCAAAAACTGCAACACTGAACTCACTGCTAATATGACAAATCAGGAGACGTAGAATTTTAAACAGCATTTTCAAAAAGAAGAAAGTACTGTTTGCCTACTTCGCTCACTTTGAGATTGCTGTGATAACTGCAGAGAGTATGGCTTTATTCAATATAAAAAAACCCAACAACCCAACCAACAAACCACAAACATATAGCATAGTGAAATGCAACATTTTTCGCAGAAATAATAGGTGAATACCCAGTTTAAATAAGTTAACTAAGTCCTCATTTTTGGATGAGCATTTCTTTTGCTAATATGCCATTAAGTAGTCATAAATAGCAATAACAACACAGGCTAATTCTTCAAGCTAGCAAATCAAAAGCTTCTAATATCACTTTTATCTTTTCAGACTAGATAAAGGCTTGCCGAGAGACCCTTACTGTATGCTGTGCAGGATCATAATAAGTTGTTACCCAATATGATTATGAAGTAAGTTAAAATGAGCTGCTTCATTGGTTAGGATAACAGAGTTCTCTGTTCCACATGAACAACAAACTAATATGCTATGTTCACAGGAGCATACAATTTATTTCATGTTATATTCAGGTAAACCACAGTAGATGAAAAAAAAAAAATACAGTGAACTGAAAGCAATAAGAAGCTTAAAGCTCTTGCACCAAGGTATATTTATTGCCCACAGCTTCAGAGAACTAGTACATGAGTAACTTTAACATGGCAACACCAAGTTGTTGACAGACCAATGCATCTCAAATTGTTGAAGGAAGCAGGATCACCAGGTCAACAGCCAATACTGGTAACTTCACTACTGTGACACTATGGCATGCCAAGAGCAAGTGTCACAGAACACAAGAGCAAAGAGAAGGGAGAAGGTGTAGAAATAAAAACTTTTTTGAAGTTACAAGCGTACATAAAGAAATTTGCATTCTTTTGGATGTTACAATTACTCACACGACGCATTTCTGTTAGTGCTGAGATCTCAGTTCCTACAGGGGTCAAGTAACCTGACAGAGTCTATAGAAAAAGGATATAGGAAAACCTTAAAAGGACCAGAGCAACAGCAACAATTATAATATATTTAGAGGCTCAAAAGCTTTCTGGTTAGGGATAGCAAAAAAGTAAAGAAAAATACTATATCATTTATAGAAAAGATGAATGTATTGACAGGACAGAAGTTTCAGAAATACACTAACACATTATGGAGGAAAGGAACAAAGCAGGGTTCAGTAAAAGATTAGATGGTCTTGTATTGTTAAAAATTTATGTATGTTTTCAAATGTTAAAGAATTTTGTAAGAGAAAAAAAAAATATCAGCAATTCTTTACCATAATATTACACACACAAAAAAACCCCAAAATTAATTCTCAAAGCTTGTTACTTTCCAAGCACATAAGCTCAGTATTACCTACAAATAATCAATGACTTACCTGTATGGGAGTGTTCCTCTCTGTGGGAGGGATCATATCTGGGGACAACACTTGTGGAGGATCAATCCCTTTACTGACCTTCTGTTGAATGAGATACATTGCTAGTGCAAACTGATCTTTGCTTAGCTTTCCCATCTGTCTTGTGTCTGCCAAAGCCCTGGTAAAAAATAAATCACACTTATAAACAAGAAAAGCTTATTTCTCTTCTACCAAGAAGCCTGAAATACACATATACATGTAATTTTCTTTTGACTTGGCTTCATCAGTTGCTTATTCTAGCGAAAGAGTTCCATAAACAGAGCAGTATTTTATTAGACATTTAACTGAATAGAAAGATGTTACTCTGAGAAAATATTTAGAGCACTACAACTTCCACAAACAATCTCAATTCACAGACTGACCTATATGCCCCTCCCAGAAAAGCAAAGTGAGTATTTATTTCCCCCTTGTTTTTCCATATAGCTCACATATTGTAGTATGACAATAGAACAAGTAAAAGAGGTTGGGTTCGGGGTGGTTGGTTTGTTTGTTTGTTTGTTTTTTTTTCTTTAAATGTTAGGATCACAGTTCTGGCTGGATAATCTGACTTCCCAGATCAGCAAGTTACAAAAATACAGCTACTAGGGAATTCTTACCATATATGTGCTAGGAGATTCTGAGACAGACCTGAATGCATAAAAATGTCCTTTACTTCTTGGCCACTCACAAAACCATCCATGTCTGTGTCTGTTTTTAAGAAAATTTCATCGTATCGCGCTTTTTCAGACATTGGTACTACCCAATTCACAGATGGCTGTAAAACAAAGTTGTATATTTCAAAAGAAGATAAACAGTCTTTATCAACACACTGAGTATATAGGACATTATTCAAAGTTGGATGTGCTGAACATCTTGCACAATCAAATCTGATTGGTAAATGGGTATTTCCTCTTTTCCCATGAATGTTTTAGCTTTATACTTTTCATCTGAATTATAAATACTGATAAACAGCTATTCATCAGTTGAAAAGCATTCATTCTTTGGAAATACGAACCCAATTAGGCATAGTAAGTCCTCATGCTAAAGGAGCTTTAGAAGGCAGATTAACGATTTCTTTAGTATGAAAAGTGAACACTCCCCATAAGATTTGCTACCTCATGGTCACTCTGACTAAAATTCACCTGCTCTTCTTCCATTGGTCCAAGTCTTACTATCCTCATTTCATTCCCTCCACCCAGATCACCCAACAACAAACACATTTTCAGAAAAGTGTCCACAAGAGGCAGAAATCAAAATGCAGTTTTATTTTTTCCTGCTGTTTACTGATACAAAAAAGGAAAGAAAAGAAAGATGAAAGAAGTAAGATTTGTACCTGTGCTTGTTTGATGCTGTGCTTGGGAGACAAACTCCCTGTGCTGTTCAGACTGTTGACACTACCATGAGATGGGGTAGAACGCAGGCTATCTTTTGGTGGAGGACTTGCAGGAAGAACAGGAACTGCACCAGGGAAGACAGGCGTCTTCTTTCTTTTAGAAGGTGGTATGAGAGAAGGGGGCAATAGTGAAGGAACTGGCTCTTTCTCGAGAGCTCTATAAACCAAATGCATTGCCTGCAAAGGCAAAAAAGGTCAGATAACATTAACAATTAGAAGAAAAAGTGACAAGATTTTTCCAGTGTCAGTCTTTTACATATTAGTAAAACAAAGACAGTAAGATTAGAGATGTAAACCAGAGCACATAATTTTGAATGTAATTCCAAAATGTTTAATCTTGATGACACAGGCAAGTGTCAGTAGATGGATTTAATAAAGATCATTTAATAGCTCCATGTGAACAATTTAGATCAGAACAATTGACTGTAGCAGAGAAAGCTGCAAAGCTCTTGAGAAAAAAACGAGCGATTTGCTCTAGCAGACACACTGTGAATTGAGAATTCAAGGCAACCTACCACAGCAAATTCGTCCTTGTCCAGGTGACCATCTTTATCAATATCACTGAGATCCCAGACCTACAGCAATTATGACAAAAATAATGATTTAGAGAACAAGTTACATCTTGTGCTTTTGATGTTTTTCATCATCGTATTAAGTATGGTCTCTAAAGATTCCCGATAGATTTTTGTGAAGATCATGCTAGTTACGTTAGATCTAGCTAAACATTCCCTGATCAAACAGACTGGATTAGAGTTTTCTGGCAATGTGAATCAACACTGGCTCTAACAAATTCCAGATGCAACACAGGCAAATTTTTCATCTTTCTACCTATGTTGCAATTAAGGAGTCATCAAACTGTCTAAAAACATCCAGAGGTGGCTTTCAGAACTGTCCAGAGGGTGCGTGCTGGCAGATTGACCAAATTTGTCTTATAAGTGAAGTTATTTTAGAAAAGTCAATACATTTCTAATTTACATTCCGTCCCTAAATTTCCAGCTTTCATTTTTAGTCAAAAAGATGTGTCCACTCCCAAAAATTTTCTAAAGGAGAGAATTTAAGCATCTATCAACTTTAGTTCATTATTAGGTCAAGTACAGTCAACAAAACATGCAGGAGATTTAGAAGGATACAAAACTTTGTGTACTCTAATACTCTGCCATCAACTAACACTGTTTAATCATCGGTGTGACTTGGAGACAGAATGCTAAGACTGAGACCCAATCAGTTGAACTCTACTCCCAGCTTTACCACTGGACCCCTGTATGAATTTGAGCAAGTTAGATTAGTCCTTTGCCCACTTCCTCAGTCCCCTATCTTGTCCGCAAACTTTTCTGGAACTTCCTGAATTTCTATCGTGACAATAACAAGATAAAATACAGAGACTTTCAAGACTCAGTACTTCACAATAGTACAGAATTAAAACAAGTCATACTTAGATTTTGTAGATAATACAGAGAAAGAGGCAGTTATTCCTGAAGAGATTAAAATTTATAACGCAGATACAGCTCTTACATAGAATGCATTCATTCTCAGTCATATCAATACGCAAAACGTTACATAATACATATTTTAAATGGAAGCAGAAAAATACTTTAAGGTTTGCTTCCCTTGCAAATACATAATGGATGCACTAAACTCAGATCTCAGAAGTATTTATAAATATACATGAAAAAGTACTTGACAATTTGACAGCTACAATAAATGAGGATGTTTTAAGGTGTTCTCTTGTACAAACAGTGGATTTAATGGTATGTCTAATAACTTGTATTTGTAAAAATGACAACACAGTGAAATATAATATTATAAAAGTTAGTATAGTTTAGGGGAGCTTTTTCTTGTTTTTAAACAACAAAATAAAGATTTCCAGCTCTTAAAATGAATACAGAGATAATGAAGCCAATCTACTCTAGGGTCCAAATTACTACTATTATTCTTATTTCTAAGTGGAAGACTCCAGAGCCTACTTAATGTTCTTGCTTTATAGCATGCACTCGATGTAAAATCTCAGCCAAAATCTGATCTATGTTGATGAGGTACACTTAAATATTTAACATTGCAACTATGAGAAGCTAAATAGAGAATAGCTAAATGTAAACAGCATACTTACCCTTCCTAGGATATCAAGAGGTAGCTTTGAATTCATCAGTACTGGTTTTACTTTGTCTCCTGAAAGTAAACCATTTACTGGCAAAAGGCTTTCAAAAATACCATCAAACTTTGCTTTTTCTTCCACCTAGTTGGTAAGAAATAGCCTGAATAAGTAAAAAAGTGTGCCTGTGTGAGTGTTGAAAATGAGATCTTGCAAGAAATTAAGACTGGTCAGTAATGTGTTCATCCTAAATTTCCAAGCTTTCTTGCAAGTGGCACCATGCTGTATTTAAATGTAAATCCCATGAAGCTAGACTTAGGAACTTAATTTCAAAGCTAAGGTTATGATAGCCGAGAGATTTTAACATGCAGCATACAAGATGTGTTTCTGTAGTGTTCTAAAAGGACAATGCATTCCGATTAAAACACTGCTGATCAGATTTTAAACAAACTTCAACAAACTCTGTAGAACTAAAAGCTACTCTTCCCAAATAATTTGCTTCCCACTTTAAAGTACAACATGCAAGTACAAAAAAAAAAAAAAAATCAGCATTAGAAGTTATTCTATTAAATTATTAAATTTCTACCTTTTGGAAAATGTTTGAATTTGAAAATTAACTAAATACAAATATTCCCCCATATGTATCAAAAGTTGCTTTTTTCCAATGATATATATTGTGTGTATCACTGAATACTAATTAGAACATATGAACTCAAGCTTTAAATTAATACTTCAGGACAGATTTGGTGAAATGCTTTGCTATTCTCAGTGGGGTTCCTTTATGCAAACATAAAAGTGCCTACTATTAGGATTCTGGAAGAAATCCAGGCAGAAGATTAAAATTCATTGTGTCTTAAAAACATCACACCAGGGGCTGTCAAAGGCTTGTTTAATACTTATTTCAAATATAAAACTACAGCTCAATATTCTCTATTGTGCACAAGTCTCTCATCAGAAAGGGAGGACTTCTGAAATGGGAAATATATTTGATACAAAATTATCTCACTGGGAAAATTACAGACAAGGAAAATATTTACTTTTAAAGAACGGATGGAATGTGTGGTCTTTTACACTTACCCTAACAGCCCAGTGAGTCTCTGTCGAAGGTGGTGTGATCAGCAAAGGACTGCTAGTGTCATGCTAAAAATCAAAGATTTTTTTGTTTGTATCTATATATATACACAAAGAAATACACACACTTCTGTCTCTAATCCTTACTAATTGCTTTAAGAGATGGTTATAGATATGAAGCTTAAATACACTGAAAAAAAAGGCTGCTCATGTGCCCAAATAAAAAAGTGAGTCATACTGATTAATAATATTACGGTACTTCAGTAAGGCCATCAGGTGCATTAGGTACCCAAACACAGAACTAAGAAGCTAAAGGAGGTTCCACAGCAGCTGCTGCTGGCAAAGCTGCAGTTATGCACTTTACTAGGCTCCTGTCGACCTAGCCAAAAAATATTCTTTTTTCTTTTCTTTTTCCATAAATTTAGAGTCTAGCCACACCACCTTCTTGAACAAGCCGGGCGTAGTTAAGCTTGCATCAGTTCTGCGGTCCAGGAAGGGGCCAGTACATATTACTCAGGAAGGCAGGACTATGGCAGCCATGACTGCAGTTATCTTAAGGAACAGTCTGATAGCAGCCTGAAGTCTCAGAACCATGACATTTATGAAACAGAAGATTATTCCAGCATTTCAACTGAAGCCTTAGTTCTCACGTAACACGTACAGACATTTAGGTGTATATTACTTACAAATTTAGGAGGTGGCACAGTCAAGTTCAGACTGCTCAGGTTAACATCATGGCCATTCTGTGCACATGCTACAAGGCGCAACGCAACATAGAAACCCTACAAACAATAGTGGTTTTTATTAATAAAGGCAACCAGTCTGAATCAGTCTCCAAGAACCCATTTATGATTTTTACTAACACTGTACATGTGCAGCTCAATACTGGATGGAAACAACAGACGTATGGCCCCATTCAGTTAACTGCATGGTGACAACTACCCCACTGCTTTTAAAGAAGATTCAGGCAACACTTTACAATAACGAGGAACAACGAGCAGAAAACCTCAAAGCTAGTTTTAGGAAGGACTCTTCCATAATTAAGTAGATTTCAACCATTTTTCTTAAAAATTAATAATGTTTTAAAAAAAATTATCCGTATCTACAACTTGGTATTTGATATTTCAAGCCATTTTTAGTAACGCTAGTTACATTTTTTCATGCAAGAAAGACTTCTAAAATAAATCTTAAAATCATAGTTTGCATTTGTGAAAGACTCAATGACTATGTATCTATATATCATGCACACCGATTATTTACAAAACAAGAGAGAGACAGAAAATTAGATCCAAACTTCTCCAGCAGCCTCACTGAGTAATATACTTGGATATGAGCAGTGCTAGGAAAAAAACTCATCTTGTAAACAAAAACTAAAAAAAACCCCCAAAAACTACTATTGATATCAACGTCTTCTTGAATCAAGGCTAACCTGCGTAAGGTAACATAAGAGGTCTACATTTACCTGTTTATCCAAGTATCCTTTACCCTCTGGGTCAGCCAAATCCCATATCTGTGGAGATATAAAACAATAGCCATTGTGATTTTAAAATAAAACTTAACTCACCTCAACAGTTCATACTGTATGTCTGTTTGAACTGTGCGTTACAGCTTTCAGGTTATGACATACAATGTTATTTAATTCTCAAGTTAACAACAAAAATGTTACTAAAAGACAATTTTTCCTTTTAGATTCCAATAAAACTCAGCACAATACCTTGGAGCTAATACCAATCTGTGGTTAACCCAATGCTCCACGGACCTGATTTGCATTCCACCAAATTCCTTTTTGCACACCCCTTCTGCTCAATGTTTGCTACACTTAAGCAAGTGCAGAAATAAGTACTGCATTACCTAACTCCTTCAACTTACTTTTCCAAGGATAATATCAGAGAGACCGGATTTTTTAAGAAAAAGCGCAGCTTCACTTGCCCCAACTCTCCCCGTATATGTTGGATCTACCTGAAAGATAAAAATTCACATTCAATTGAAGTATGTCTGTCACGAAAGCAGAGATAAGAAGTGAAGTGTCTCTTTTCTCCAGGTCAAAGGAAGTTATACAAGCATGCATTATCACTGAGCAGAGAGAATTTACAGAAGTCTAGCACTGCAATGGGGAAAGGAAAGAAGGAAATCTTGGGGAAGAGGAAATTGCACTTTATTTTTAATTTTTTTTTTTTTTTTAAGAACCTACCTGTTTGTAGTAAGTTTCATATAATGGATTCCCAGTAGAAAACTGAAAAACAAGAGAGACGTTAAGAAGACAAAGAATGAACTGCAATTGCAGATACCCACCTTTACAGACTCACAGAAAAAAAGCATACAGTACTTTGTGTATTACTTCTATCAAAACCACAAAATGGTATGTTAATTTGCTGTGTTCCAAACTGGACACCTGAAATCTAAGTGTGGATAACAGTGATGCCTCAAAACTTGCAGCCAACAGACTACTGTCATCTCTTAAAACTTCTTATTCACCAGCATTCATACTTACACTCACACTTTTAATTAACAACACTTTATGGTAATAAGGTTTTGTAGAACAGCTTTGAACTATTTGCCAAAGTATTTCAGATCACAGTTTGAGAACCACTGATATCAAAGGCAGAGTTTTCAACATAACGCTGACTTGGCTGCCTCCTGCACTGCAAATATACTTATGGAATATTTTCAGCAGACGATTATATACACACACAGAGACAGTGCCCTGGTATCAAAATATGCCTGTGTTTATACATTTTCAGGACTAGGATCTTAAACTGAAACAGAATAAAAAAAAGGAAAAAATAGTATGAATGGTTAATTAACAAACATCACAATTCCCCCACAAAGTTGTATGAAGATTTCAGCTTGGTGTTATCGCTGCATCACACCAAAGCAGCAGGCACAAAGGTAGACTCTGCCCTTTCAGTACACTAAACAAGCAGATTCCTCTTCCCTCTTGCTGACATTCCAAGCAAACGGGAACTGAAACGCCAAAAGAGGCGGAAGCCTCAATACCCATCTTCTCACCCGCTCCTACAATTGCCACGCAAGTTCTAGCCATGTGCAGGTTATACCTCCACACAGTTCTCCAACCTCAATGCCAACAGCAAAAGCACCACAATCCAGTCTCAAACAAGTCACCCCTTAGAGCAGTCAAAGGCCTTAAAAAACAAGCAACAAAACAACCCAATAAACACAGTTTAATGAGTGAGAGACAGAGATGTTGAAACACCCCAAAGCCTGCTAGGACAACTGCTCTCCACCTACAGGACGTAAGTCAGACACCTTATAAATGATTATTTCACACTAACTCTGATCACTGGTATGTCACCTCCCAAGCGCTATCTTCTTCCTTGGCATCCACATGGATTTGCAGATGTTCTGCCTACACCGAGGGGGAGGGGGATGGAAATATGGTGAAAGAAGAGGCCAATGAAAAGCATGAAATTTTATTTTACACAAAGAGAATCTTCCTGTAAGTTTACAATTAACATACCAGATCTTAATTCAAGGAGCTATCCAAAATAACTAAACCCTATTAACCAAAGACAAGCAAACACTAACTCTTTGAAGATCAGTAGTTCTACTTGGCTAGAAAAATCATGCGTTTTCAGAAGAGTTTCCTAAGCATCTTAAATGTACTTCACTTATAACCATCAACAAAACAAGCCGCTGCGTTCTCCAACAATCACTAGTTCTAGAAATTCTTGCTCTTCCAGAAGCTGGACAGGAGTTCAGAAGAAGAAACTTGCGACCATAACTCATAAATCTGACTCATCTTTTTGCCGGCTTGTAAACGATCAGCATAGATAAGCACCATGTTCCTGTCCAAAGTAGGAAACACATCATTCAGAGAAAAGGTGGAAGTAGGAAATAGTCTGTCCCACTCGGAATAAAATATGTTTTAGCCAACTATCACCAAACTATATACCTCTCGTTTATCAGAAAGCTCAGAGAAGCTAGCCAAAGACCAACTACAAGCTCCTCTAACTAACTTGGTG